TTTTTTTTTTTTTTTTTTTTTTTTTTTTTTTTTGAAGCATGGTCGAATTTTTTGATAACTGTTCAAAGTTAGACCAAAACAATTTTGCTGTGAAAATTGTAATTTGTTGAACGTTTGTTGAACCTTTGTTTTACGGATGTGAAACACGTTTTTGTCAGTAAACCACTACGTATTAAAACTAAGTGGTCAAAATCATTGCTGTTTCTTGTTCAATCCAAAAATCACTCTCAGTGAATCAATGTTGCGGGCACGAAGTCTCACTGCCTTTCTCAAACAGAAAATAGCAATTCTAGAGACGAGCCTCTCTAAAAACTGAATTTTTAAAGCAAAAGGAAAAGAGGGATACCCAAGATGCGTTTAGCAGTTAACCGTACTACTTGAGTCCGGTTTTTAATATGTCCAGCTAACACATCAATTCCCGCACTTTTAAACAATTGGTACTGAAAAAGCAACTTGTTTTTCAATTTAAGCCATGAAGAAATAGAATTGACAGTTGGGACCCCTCATTAAACGGGACAGACGGAGTGAGCATGCTTTGACTGAACTAGACGAACGAGAACTGCTGCGAGGGAAAAAAACCATTTGGTGACAGATGATGATGTGCACAAAAAGGACATCAACAACAAAAAACTTTTTTGAAATTAAAATATTTGAGACAGAAACTGACAAGTCAGGCGCATAAACGGTACAATAAAAATTTAAAACTAGAAGAGTGCTCTGGAAGCAACTACATTTACTAGTACCAATCACCGTCAAACCAAAAAGCTTCCAAGTCAAGATAAATCTGAAGCGACTAAAAAGGAATGGAAAGAATAAAGTTGTCGCGAAGATTAACGCAGTTGTAAGAAAAATAAACAAGACGTGAAAATTTTTGTACATTTAGCTGTCCTTTTCCTAAACAAGCTTAACGTCCATCTATTCTGCATATCAGCCAGAGGAACACTTCAGGTGTTGATTGTAAAAAATTCGAAAACGGTGGCGATTCGTTGGTAAAGTCCGGATATGAATTAAGAACGGTATAGCGATAGGTTCAAGTTAGAAAACAATCTCCTTGTTCGTTTACGTAAAACCAATCCTTACTGCATGATACGTGCAGATACTAAATAAAACCCTCCAAATCAGAAATTCTCAAACAGAGTAAGATAAATACCACTGTTAGTTTTTTTTTTTAATTTGGATTTTTGGTATGGCGGAATGCTCATGCAGAGTCCACTGCGTTAATCTCTCGCCAGAAACATAGCCTTCAAAGATATCCCGATGCTGAGGAAACGTGTAGCTTGTCCATCGGAGCTTTTGTTGTTTCACCAACAGCTTTATGCAGCTAGCCCGTGCAATTTCACCAAGATAGCAGACGTCGGTTAGTGCCTTACGTGCTAACAGGCTACCCAAAAGTGCAACAGACATTCACGAACAGTATTTGTAAAAATCCGAGAATTCACACATATCAAACATTTGAACATTAGAAGCAAAACCGCACGATTATAAAAAACGATCCAGGAACTGTAGAGAAAGATCACCAAAAAGTCATCAGAACTGGGAAGCAATGTAAATCTAATTCATTTCTACATCATCTTTTTACGCTCTAAATTTAGCATTATTAATTTAATACAGATTGCGGGATCCAATTTTTTTTGAGCTTCATAAAATCTCTTTTTCGTAACGGTTATCAAGCTGTTTTCACCTGGTATAGCAACTATCATTATGTAGCTCTTCCGTTAATTTCCATCCTTTAATGGTCGTTTCCTCGCGGAAGCGCAACCAGAAAAACTTTTTTATGCTGCCGTAATCTTTTATCACCTTCCTATTCTGTTGATTATTAGTCGCTTCGTTACAAATCCGTCTCATTTCTCTTTTAATATGATTTGTCGAGCCAATTAATATTACATTCAATTCTCTTCAGAAACTTAAAAGTAATCTGCTACATGCTAAAGTTTATGCTAAAAGAACAGATGTTTCTTCACAAACCATTCCTGGTTTTTGTATTCAATCCTTCCTCTTCTCCAAAAATGGCACTTATTGGAAAAAGGAGAGTAGAATAAAGGAAAGTGGATTAAAAATAAAGTGAGCAGACATAAAATCATTACTTGTTTAGTAATTTGAATTGAGCTAGAAACGTTTCAAATAAAAAGTCAAAAAAGATCGTTTAAAACCAATAATACAGTTAATAACTGCAAACAGAACACTAAGCCCCGACAGCAACGCTTTTTACAGACTTCCTAACCCTACTCAAGCTCCTTCAATAAAGTCTCACTGCTCAGAATATGTAATAATTCACTGCCCTACTAAACATTCGGAGAAAAAGATTGTAAGTCAAAAAAACATTTACACAACAACCTATGAAACTTCAGATTAGAGGCACTACCATTAGTAGGAACTGAATTAAAAGAGTTCCTCAAATAAAGTAAAAAAAGGTTGAACCAGGTACCTTGACTGTTTCGTTCTGACTCTAATCTACCTAGATCCCCAGAACTTTCAGTCATTAGCATGGTCAAGAAGGCGCAAAACTTATCTTCATGACTCTTACATCAACCCTTATTTTGAAGACATAATAGGAGTTGCACTCACAGACTGAAACTTCATGAATTTCAGCACCGTTAAGTTTCTAGCACAAAACGACATCTATGTGGAATAGATTCCACAAAGT